AATGGAGCACAAATGTTTGACAAGAATTTTCACATAAAACCTGAGAAAGCTTTGAGGATTCTAGACAGACAAGAACAGAGTCAAGGACAGCTTGTTGGGAACAGTCTTCACTCCAGTAGGCTGTTTGCTGGCAGCCAGCAGAGATGCAGCTCCTTCAAGAGAGTCTTCCTGACTCAGCTTAAGGTGAAAAAAACCTCACTGTTCTTTGAAGAGGCCCTGCCACAAAACACTTAAATGGTGTTTATGAGCAGCCAGCATCAGGCTTCTTGGTGTTGACACAGACCTAGAGACTCCACAGAAATATGGCAATAAATTTGACTCCTGCTAGTACCTCTGCCATTAAGCAAGATTTTCAAAAAGCTAAGGAATGGGGTGGAGCTGCCAAAGCCTTAGCTTTAATCTTAGTCATGCTATTTAGTAAACTAAGGACTCAGGTTCTCAGAAAAAGATAATGATACACAGTGAAGTCAGATTCAGAAGGAAAAAAAAATCTAAGTGGTTTACCGTGTGTTTAAAAATATACGCAGGCCTGGGAGAGAAAAGAAAAAGATAAAGTCTTTTAAAAAAAAGAAATAAATAGAAAACTTGGGTGTGCTGATACGTGCCTCTAATCCCAGCACTTGGGAGGCAGAGGCAGGCAGATCTCTGTGAGTTCAAGGGCAGCCTGGTTTACAATGTAAGTTCCAGGACAATCAAAGATGCACAGAGGAACCCTATCTCAAAAAACAAAACATTAAAAATTAAAATAAAAATAGAATTTTAAAAATCACATAAAGATGGAAAATATACAGAAAATCTGGATACTGTATTGTGTTGGCTTTGAATTTTTTGACTGATGAGGAAGGAGCAACAGATGCTAAAAGATTTGATTATAAATTCTGCTGAATTACTCCAATCTGTGTATTTTGAAAATGCCTAGTCATATCTCTCTCTATAGCTCAGTATATTCAAAATATTATTTTAATGAGTTATCTGTATGAAAAATTAGCAATCATTTTGCATGACTTTGATTCTAAGTTTTTAAAATTCAATGTGATTTGAAAAAGCTTCATCTCAAGAATAACGATTGAGAAGAAAGATTTAGAAAGATAGTATAAGAAAGAAACAAGTTTGTTTGGTTTTGTTTTTTGTTTGTTTGTTTGTTTTTGAGGTAGGGTTTCTCTGTGTAGCCCTGGCTGTCCTAGAACTGGGTGGCTATGAACTCTGAAATCCACCTATCTCTGCCCCTACCTTGGAAGGGCTGGATTTAAAAGCATGGACCACCAATGCATAGCATGTGTTTTGAAGGAGCTAATTTTTTATAAGTTCTTTTTTTTTCCTATCAAAGTCACACAGTTTGGAGCAAAGATCAGAAATGAGGCAAAATGGCTTTGGGGATGGATTTCATCAAAACTCAGAGCCTAAGGAATAGATGATAAATAACTAAGGGTGTGATGGTTGATGGGGATTAGAATGATTTAAGGATGTATTTAAATGATCGCAGTTGGTACGCAGAATAAAATCTTGTAAGGTTTGTAGAGAAAACACTAAGAGATCACAGAAACCAAGGAGAGTGCGGACAAATTTCAAGAAGTAACAGAATGACAGACAGGCAGGAGATATAATGGGTATGAGAACTAGAGAAAGTCTATTAGATATGGTTCGAAGGTGACCTCTGAAACAATGAGAGCCTTGACCATTGCTGAGGAAGAAAAGAGGACTTGCTAAGCTCTTTCTTAAAACTTAGCTCTGGCTCCTTAAAACTCCGCGGTAACTGAAGATATTTGGATTGAGGAATCTGACTTTTCCCAGTAGATACAGAACCAGCAGGAATCCTGGCAGAAGGAAACAGAAACCAGCCTAAGGTTGGGTGGAGCTCCGGGCAATTCTTGATTAATGGCCAATGTAAAGAAAACTCAGCAAGAAGCCAAGTGACCGAACACAGGGAAAATTGTAGGGAAAGTACTGCTGGGACTCAAAACTATTGCAAAACCATTGGTCTCAGTCACACACACACACACACATACACACACAAGCAGAAAAAGATTAATTTAAAAAAAAACTTGTCATCATAAAAACTTTTTGAATTTTTTTTCAACCGCTTCTCTTCTCCCCATACACAGTATTTCATACCTTGTCTTTAGTTACGGTAAAAGTGACTGGATCCAATGGGAAGTTGATGTAAAATTTTTATACATTCTTTAAAGGGTAGTGAAAAGTAGCAATGGCCTGAAAGTCCTCTAAATTGAACTGGCTAGACTTCCAGGCTAGTATTTGTTCAAGTCTTATTTTGTTAACATCTAATCAGCATACAAAATGGCAAATGTTTTTAGTTTGTGTTAACTGAAACCAGCTTGAAGATAATAAGAACTTGTGAGAATCAACTCATTCAGTCTTACAGTGAATCCCTCGTTTGTGGGCAGATTTCCTACGGGTTGCATTTGACAAGGATGGTAGGATAGGGTGTGGGATTTATTCATTGACAAAAGTCCCTTGAAATTCCCTGCGATTTCATCAACCCTCAGGAGCTCAGTGTGCACACATGTTTGTGAAATCTAAAAAGTGACACCCTGGGTTATTCTCCAAAATGAGCATGTTGGACTCTCTCATTCCTGAGGGAGGGAGCTTTACAGATATAAAATTTAACTTATTTTCTACGCCTGTCTAAAACTCTTGTCGTGTTTTCTTATATCTGTCATTGTCTGTATTAGAGTCTAGTACTAGATCTGTGGATCCCATTCTTTGTACATCCACACATCTTTTGCAAGTTGAGAAATAACCAAAGGTACAATGCAAGACTAGAGGTTAATTAATAATATCACACAGGAAATAATATGTTGGTTTATATATGACATCCAAAACTAGTGTGCCAAACTTCCTAGCTGTTGTGCTAAAAATTGTTGTAGATGACCTGTTTATTTTTTGTCCCATAGAGAAATACCTCTGATCATTCCCATGCAGACAGTATATTCATGCTTCTGGAAATATCAAAATCACATTGACTCAATCATTGCTATTGTAACGGAACTGGCAGTTTCTAGATAATAGATCACTTTGTCCCAACTCATTGTACTGCAACATAATTGCTGACTAAGGATACATGGGGATGTCATAATGAACTTAAATAAAAATCTATGGAGGTGACAGGCCAGTGAGTCCAAGACAGTATAAAGAATTTGTAGTAACATAGTCCTATTATCCCAACACTTGGGATGGGGGACAAGGTCATTTTGGGCTACATAGTGAATTCCAGGCAAGTCTGGATTACTTGAGTCCCTGCTTTAAAATTAATAACTGCGGAGCAGACAAGATAATACACAATGTCTGCTCAGAGTCACACTAAGGGGCTGTATTCATGGGAGGAAGGGTTCTTCTCAGGCAATGGGCAGTATTTCAATATTCTAGCACTTTGGTTGGTTGTTCCAAAACCTTTGGGTTTCATCTGATGGGATACCTATGTAGGTCTCCTATCTGGATGAATAGACAATGACCTTATTACTTTAGTGGGAAATAAGTTCTGCAGTGCAAGTTGGTTGTTTTTATCCTGGAACGAACTGTGCAAGAAGCACAGGTTACTAAGGGTCAAACTCCTGAAGGTCTGAGTCTTCGTATTAGAGAGTGGAATTCTCTAGAGTCCCGTCGTATGACCTGAAATAGATTGTTGCATTCAAGGCTTGTTAGGGACAACCCTTCAGTCCTGCTTGAAGGCAGCAATGGACTTGCCCTGATCCCAATCCACCTCAAGTCAAAAATCAACCTTGTTGTGAGGTTAGAATGACTCAGCGTGACTCCATCGTGGAATGATAGCCACAAAAACTTCTATTTTAAAAATCTAAGTGATTTTTTTTTAAATAATAGATCCATTGTCCTTATAAAATCGATGAGAAATCTTGAGGTTTGTGATGTATGGGTCTGAATTTGAATGGGCATTTGGGGTCAGCGTCCCTTTGTATCAATTCACTAGATGCCACTAAGACGGTTTGCATAGAGAATCTGTGATCAAATGTGGGAGGTCTATGCTGGTGCCTTTTATTGCTTAGCACATTTACTCTACCAGTTTCTTCACTGTCGCTATGTCCCATAGACCTGGAATTCCTCTCTGAGAACTGTGGATACACGGAAACTGCTAACAGAAGTTGTGTGCATCACCAGTCTGGAGCAAAACCCGCACTATTCAGCATGCTTTCTCTGAAAAGTATGCTTTAAAAAAGAATGCTTAGAAACTCGACTAAACTTATGTAGTGCATCACGTGAGCGGTCACGTGACTAACGCTATTAGTAGTTGAGTCAAGAGCCCTTCACCACAATATAAAGCTGAAAAGGGTAGCACTTCCTAGTAAACCATAAATATATACAATAATCAATTCTAGGCCAATGTTCTGCTTCGTTTCGTGCTAAAATCAAAAGTTTCACATTGTAACTTTAACGTTGTCAGAGATTCCTAAAGTAAACAAAATAGCATGGAATAAGAAAGCTTGATTGTGTAACTTCTGCTTTTGCTGGCTAGGAGATACCAAGTATCATTTTCTTATAAACCCACCCCTAAACAACCATGACTGCCTGCCTAGTCACAAGCCTGGAGTCTCCCAAGTTTTGATTTCATCAGAGGAAGTGGTACTATTTGACCAACGCTCCTGGTTTATTATCATCATCTACAATAATTACTTTTATGTTCCCAATTCTCAGTAAAAAGACACAAAGTCCTGCTTACAAGAACCTTCAGAAATGACCCTGAGATTGGGTTCTGCCAAGGAACAGGGGCCTTTTTCCCCCCCTGCCAAGCTCTGCCTTTCAGACCTACGCCCACCCAGGCCCCGGCCCTCCAGAGGCGCGGAGCCGGACACCGCCTTCCTCCAGCTCTGGCGCGCGGCCGTGACTAGCGCTCCCGGAGGGGGTCTCGAGCACGAGGGAGGGGAGGGGAGGGGCGGCCCCGCCCCAGGGGCGGCCCCGCCCCTCGCCCCGCCTCCCCGCCCCTACTCAGTGGGGCGCCCACGTGCCCAGCCCGCCTTGCGCAGCGCGGCGGCGGGAGCTTCTGTCTGAGCGGACCTGGAAGGTGGCGGCGGCTCCTCTAGCCTTCTCCCGCTTGGGATCCCCAGCGCACTGCAGCCGCTTGCTCGCCGGTCCCCGTCCCCGTCCCGGTCCCCGTCGCGCGACCGGAGCGCTGCCCCAGTAAGTTGCAGAGAGTGCGCCGGGGCCAGAGGGGAAGCGGTGGGGCGCGGGCGTCCAGGCCGAGTCCAGCTGCGCGCAGCTGCCCGGAGGAGAGGCCGCGCTCCGGGGACTGGGGAGCTGAGCGTCCGGGGTACAGCGGGCAGGGGCTGCAGCCTCGGACCCTCGTCCTCCGGGCTGCACCCTGGGCTGCCACCCTCCTCTTCTTGTTGGCCTCCGGTGCCGCTGGCTGACTCGCACTCGAGGCGGGCATGATCCACGGCGGCCACGCGGGTCGTAGAACTTGGAATAGGGCCTGACACTGTGGCTCCGCTAATGTCCATAGTCAGTTTAGTTCCGGGGGACCCTCAGTATCTCTCTTCGGGAGGGCAGCCTGCCTCCACACCCTGTACACGGAGTGGTCCCCCGAAGTCTCCTTTCACTCTCTTGGGAATCTTGGTTTAAATTTGGAACAAGGCTTGGATCGCTAGAAGTCTTTTCCCATCCTGCTCTGGATCTGGTACGACAGGTAAAATGACCCACTTGGGCGTGGGGGAGTTTGTATCGCTGTCTTAAAGTAAATGGGTGCAGCATTAAACGCTTGAGTTGTTCTGTGCCTCTTAATCCCGTTTCAGGAAGCCTTCAAGCCTTGATTACCTTAAGACCATCGCTCCAGGTTGTAGGTTCCACTAGTCTCTTCCACCTTCTCTTGCCGCATACAAGCAGTATGTGGCATCAGGTAACCCTGTAGTTACTTCAAAGAAGTAGGCTCAACAAGAGTCGAACGGCCACAGAAGGCTCTCAAAGTGGAAGCTGCCTACATGCCAGAAGTCAAAGAGTTAATCCGATTCAAACCCTAAACTCTGTAAAACTGCCTTCAAAAATCAAAGACTCCTTTGGGACTGAAGAATTCTATCCATGTGGATCAGTTCTTTGCGAGAATGGAACTATCAGAATCTAGGGCTTGGGCCGTGTAGTTAAGTATGTTTGGCCTCTAACGTCATTCTTTTAAGACTTGGTTTTCTTTTCCACCTCCATATTAATATTTATCTTCACAGTAAAGCGAAACATTTTATTTGTTGTCTCTGGCTAGGGACGGTGCAGGTGAAGAATACCCTATTGTTATATATGCTTTTTATGCTGTTCGATCTTTTTTTTTTCTGATCGCACCAAAGTAGCATGAAGAAATGAATGATACATCGGCTCAGAAAAACATTTTTTCCCTTGCTTTATGCTAAAGAGTTGCTAGCTGGCTACTGTCCAGGAGTGAATCTTGGAGGCAGCATTACGTGTGTTTGCATTTTTCCGGCTTTCTCCTTTGCTCACCACTCTCCTTCCCTCTGTCTCCTGATGAGTGAATGTCATTTCCCTTAAGGCATTTTAATCTTCTGGGATGTGTCGCGAACTTGAAGATTAATCATACTAGAGCATCTTGGAACCTGCAGAGATTCAGTTTGCAGAATCCTGAGCTTCACTTTGTCGCCAAAGCCCTGATTCCAGTCTCCAGTTTTTGTCGCTAGGCTTAGAGTTAATAGCCTGGAAAGAGGAATGACAGGGAGGAGAGCAATATGGTAGCTGTGGACATTTTTAAAGTCTGAGAATTTGGCCTGGAGCTGGTGGTGCACGCCTTTAATCCCAGCACTCAGGAGGCAGAGGTAGGGGGATCTCTGTGAGTTCGAAGCCAGCCTGGTCTACTAGAGCTAGTTCCAGGACAGGCTCCAAAGCTACAGAGAAACATTGTCTCAAAAAGGAAAGAAAGAGAATCTGAGAATTTGTTGAGCTTTTTTTGTTGTTGTTTATTTTTTTAATTTAATTTTTTTGTTTTTGTTCCATATTTCCAAGTCTCTGGGCCCCTTGAGCCCTCGTATCTGGAAAGTTTTGAAGCTGGGGTTTCCTCGCTGCCAGCCTCTCACCTTTGCAGAGCCATTTGCCTCCTCTCCCTTCTAGGTGATTCAGTGCCCGCCTTTTGTGTTCTTCTGTCTTTTAGTTTACGTCAGTGTTATTTCTTCTGCCTCTCTTAGCCAGAGACCCTACTGGAAAGTGGCTATTTCTCCTTTTTCCAAATGTTCTTCTCTTAAGGTTTTCTCTGGTAAGGTGTCTAACAGACTTCATGTTGCTCTTTTTTGTTACATTTGTTGGTTCCTGTTGGTGTGTGGCGGCAGTGAAGGTGGTGGGGAATGGGGGAGTTCAGAGCCATCTCCTTGTTTTATCTCAATGCCTTGCAGGGGCAGCTTTCAGGACAGAATCTGGAAAATACCCTCATGCTGCTGTTTGCTTCATTTTCCCCCAGATATAGTAGAAACATGATCTTGAAGTCTGGTTTCTTTTTTTATTTGATTTTTCGAGACAGGGTTTCTCCGTAGCTTTTTGGTTCCTGTCCTGGAACTAGCTCTTGTAGACCAGGCTGGCCTCGAACTCACAGAGATCCGCCTGCCTCTGCCTCCCGAGTGCTGGGATTAAAGGCGTGTGCCACCACCGCCCGGCGAAGTCTGGTTTCTTAAGAGATGACTTTGTGGTGCCAAATATTTAGAAGAAAAGGAAAATTTTCAGTTGAATGTGTTTCTAAGCTTTCGTGTTCGACACTGTGTGCCAAAGGAATGCTTCACAGCCGGGTGGTGGTGGTGGCCGTGCTGGCGCAGGCTTCTAATCCCAGCACTCACTCAGAAAGCAGAAGCAGGTGGATCTCTGTGAGTTCAAGGCCAACCTGGTCTACAAGAGCTAGTTCCAGTACAGGCTCCAAAGTTACAGAGAAACCCTGTCTCAAAAAACCAAAATGTTTGAATCTATCGGTCAGAGACCGTAGGACTCGTTCTATGGAACGCTTTAAAGAATTGCATAAATAAATAAAGGATTCAGTGTTTTGGTACAGAATATATAATACAGACGAGCCAACAAAAATAAAGCACATGGGACAAAGTAGCTAAAAAAAAAAAAAAAAGGGAAGGCTTCACCATGCAACTGAAAAGCTGAGGGAGCTGACCTTACATTATACCTGTCTAAACACCTTAGCAAATTTAAATGTTTAGCTTCTACTGAACCTTTAGGAAAACATCCAGAACTCTATCGATAAAACCTTGAGCAATAATAAAAATCCATGAAACGCTTCCTCGTGGTTTTCTATTTCAAAAATTTGTTCTTCTGTTCCCTCACCTGGTAAGACCTAACATGTGCTCAGAGTGTCTTTATCGTAAAATAAATAGGAATGGTTCCAACAACTTGAGAAAATGTGTCGTCTGTCTCCTAATGCTTTCATGCCTTCACTCAAAGTTTCTTGGGTTCCTACAGTACACTAGGCATGTATTGAGTGATCCAAAACTAGTTACTGCCATAAATAGTGGTGGGATTCTGTAATCACTTTTGCATTTGGGAAACTCTTGGTGGACTTTAAAAAATAGTTTATTGTTGTTAACTGTATAAAAATAACAAATCTCAGCACATTGGCTTCAGCATTGTGCTGCATTGTGACATATGACGATGGTGTTGCCGTTTCGTTATCAAAAGCATGTATGCTGGGTATACAAATCTATGTTGATCTGCTCATACATCCTTTGGCCTGCTTTTCTGGCCCTTGACTTAGAAGTGGTAGCTATAGCTGCGGAAATGAGAGTGCTACTTTGTTAGAACCAAAGCCAGCGAGACTCCCTTTCCAGCAGGCAATCCCAGCTCCGTCTATTTGTTGTTCTTGTCTAACTCAGTAAGCGTAACTGCTTTGTGTTATGGTGTGGGGGTAGGCAGCATACTACACTTTTTGTGTGCTTGTGGACACTTGTAGATAGTTGTCGATGATAGGTGTCAGTTTCTGAAGACATCCCCTGCCCTTATGGCAACATTCTGACTGGTAAGTATGGTTAGTATCAATTTAAAAAACTATCTGAGATAGTGTGGCTTTTGTTTAACAGACTGGATTTTAATGTGTGAGTCGTGTGTCTTCTCCGTTCTTATTGCAGCTTTCAGTTTGGATCTCCATCCTTCTAGAGAGCTGTGGCTCCTCACTGTACTAGGTGTGGATGTGGATACAATATGTTGTCGGAAACCTTGGGTTTTCTTAACGAAGGGTTTGATTCACCTGAAGCTGGCTCTTCACGATAAAGGCTGTTGTGTGCTCTCTTTTGGGCTTTATGCTTATCTGCCTGTAAAGGAGCAAAGATAGGAGTTAAATAGGTGCAATGAGCCTAAGAATGCAAAGCAGTCCTGCACGTGCTAGCTGGGTAGGAAGGCACTGGTATGCTGTCTCCTCTCTTCAGAGCTGACCCTGAGCAGAGACCCTCCAACACAGAAGGAAAGAACGGCCCCGTGACCTTTCCTGCAAGAATCAATTTCATTAAAAAAAAACTTATTAAACAATACATACTAAGGGATGTTTATGGCCCCTGTTGGTTCTTGCTGGCTGTTCCTCTTCCTTCCTGAACTCATGCTGACTTTGAGACTCCAATTGTCATTCCATGTCTAATACAGTACTTCTCAGCACTTCTCTTGGAGATGCCTTTCTAGTGGCCTCTGCTGGGCACAGCACAGAGAGCTTGGTGCCCTGTCACCCAGGGGTGCAGAGCAATACCAGAGTTAAGACGCTCACTTTAGTTTAGTCCTTTGCTGGGTGGGAGGGATGTTAGTTCATATTTAAGAGAACTGGCTTTGTTGTTCTTAAAAACAGGCATTTTCTTTTATGACGTCTGGTAATAAAGTCTTAAAACTCACTTGTTATTAATTTTTCTTTTTGTGGGCAAAAAAAAAATGGTGTTTGAGCTGCTACCTTGATCGTAATAGGGAGATAACTGTGAGGATTTCTTGCTTTAGCTGTGATATCTACTGGTGTCAGCTTGGCAGTGATGATGGTGCTGCTCACTGGCAGAATTAATGGCTATTTTATATTGAACCAAAAGAAAAAATTAGAGTGTCTCTCCAATTTCAGCAGCATTTATTTGATATGAATTTGGAGCAGATTTTCTAAATGCAGTATAATTTTTAAAAAAATAAGAAATAAACTTAAGATGTGTTGCCCACCACGTGTGGCGCCTCTGGTTCTT